GTGTGTGTGTGTGTGTGTGTGTGTGTGTGTGTGTGTGTGTGTGTGTGAGACAAAGCAGGATAGAAAGAAAAACACAGGAAGGTACAACAAAATTAAACAAGTCTGACAAATTGTTTCTAAAAGTTCCTATTCTTGTTATATTTTTGGTCAATTTTGAACATGCATTTTATTGAATGTTAATTTCACCCCGGGCTGTACAATGCTTTAGGTTTATTATTGTGTGTGCACAGCACCTTTTCAAGTGCAGGTATTCGGTAAGAAAAGACGGGAAGACAACAGTTTGCAAACGTAATCTCTGTGAAACCAGTAAAACCAAACCGAATCAAAATGGCTCATAAAGATGTCAGATATAGATGGGTGGTAAGGGCTACATTTACCAGTTGCTGTACATGGTATGGGAGGTATGGTTTGAAGTTGATATCTGTTATAACAGCTCATCCTATAAGAAAAAAAAAACTTTCGTCAGATGAGAAGAAAAAAACAATTTGCCTCTTTAAGGGGGTTATGCACCTTTGGAGCTGCTGGTAGGCAGATTTTGTTACCGAGGGACAGAGTCAGGCTCGCTGGCTTTATGCTAAGCTAAGCTAACCGACTGCTAGATAAAGGAAGGAATAAGCATATTTTCCAAAATGTTGAACTTTTGCTTGAAGATTCAACAACGAGTGACAAATTAGACTTGAGTATGCAAGTACAACAAATAATTAGTTGTGTTTTTTATTATTTTAACATGCAATTATGAAAACTCAAAACCATTATGGTTTTATGATATTATGTACAAGCCCAATTTTTAGAGACCTTAAAGGCGAAATATTAGCTTCAGCGAACATGAAGGATGGTGGTCTTCCTGGAAAGAAATCCCATGAATATCATAAAATAGTTTTATGAAAAACTTCACTATGTTTTTACTGTCAGCTAGTTTCCCAACATGAGTTGTTTTCTCTCTCTCTCTGTATTGACACACACGAAAGGGAGCGCTCTTACTCCTGCAGCAGGAAGCAGTGCATTGATCTGTAGCCTGGGTGGTTCCATAGGATGAGAAGCAGCTGTGTGCACCATGCATGTGTATTCCAACAGTATATAGCAGTACTGCCTGATTAGTATGGGTGTGCGCAACTGTGCATCTTAAGGTATCTGCACATTTATGTTGCATGTGTCTATGTGAGCATGTGTGTGTGTGTCCTTGACTGTGTTTGTCCCACCGGGACACATGTCAGGGTGGTTGGGTGAGCGTGTGCCCTACACTGTAATGAGACGTCTCCCACTCGCTTTGTCATCGGTTGTCTCATTAGTGCACTGCTCCTCAGGCATTTCACATGCTGAAAGACTGATAGCTACGTTATTAGCTATGTCAAAGTTTAAAGGATTTGTTCAACATTTCGATAAATAGACTTATTTACTTCCTATCTGAGGGTTACAAGAAAAGACTTATTCAACTGTCTTGGCTAGCCGAATACCCTAGCTTAGCATAAAGACTGGAAACATGGGGAAACAGCTAATTTTGGCTATCTCCAAGGTTCAAAAGCCACCAACACCTCTAAAGCTTGCTAATCAACATTGTTGGGGAGTGGAAACACTGCAAGCTTACACATTTCCCATTAACTTTCAGGTAGTGTAGCTACTTCCAAAATGTCCTGCAATGTTTCCAGTAGTTAGCTATTTTTTCCAGTAAGTAGTGGGGTAGTGCAACGTAGCTCCTTAGCTCAGCTTAGCATACAGACTGGAAGCAGGGGGAAATAGTTCTCACTGTTGCCGTAAGGTTGCCAGGTATAACCATCTGAGATTCTGCACAGAAGTGCAGGGCAGGTGGATAAACTGCTGTTCATCAAGCTAATAGTTACAGTTTGTAACTTCCTTTAAACCAGCCATGCCAACCTACAGCTGTCTTACTACAAGTTAGCATGCTGATCTCCCAGCACCATGGATGCTGTGCAGAAATACAATTTCAGAGTTTTGGCTGGGCAGGGCTTTGGCATACAGCATTTACCAGTGTATATTCCAGAATACTGGTTTGGATGATCATCTATGTAGAACTCTATTTTAGATGAAGGGGAGATAGTTCAGAGGAGGGGGGGGGGGGGGGGGCATTTCTGGCAGACACATCCCACCACAGATGTTTGGTTAAATTAGGCCCACACAAGGAACCAGTGGGATGTCTCGCCCTGAAGTTCAGTCTTTCATTTACTCTACTATCACTCCTCAGCCTGTTTGCTTCAACACCGAGGTCCTCGTGGGTGTCCACATGATGATACTAAATACCAGAATTAAATCCAAACTTAATTAGCGTGTGCACTCAGCTGTGGATAGGTCAACGAACTGCAGGGCGCTCCTAGAACTATACATGTGAAAAAATTCTCCAATTAGCTGACATTTAAGTATTCAAGACCTGTGAGTGTTTGTTGATTTGATTAATCGTGAGCAGCAATGATGAAGGAAGTTGTGTCCATCTTTTAATATGATCGCATATTCATTTGCTATAATGGTCATTGGACTAAATAGGAAATCGGGGGGGTGAGGAAACCTTTGTTCTCTCTCATTATATAACCATCTCTTTCACTAGTGTGTTTGCTCGACCGATTTGCAGCATCCCTCAGATGTCCATCAATTCAGTGTTGATGAGACCATCTGACAGACAGCAAGGGGACAGACAGACAGAGTGCGAGCAGGTGGTGGAAGGTCTGGTGAGACAGTTCTGTGTTTCTGCTCTCTCTCTTTCAAGGCAATTTAGTTGGATGCAATGACTGCTTGAATTAAGTCAGATTTCAATGAAAGTATTCTTGAATTCCCCCCCCCACACACACACACCCAGTCAAATATGAATGCGTATAATTTGATGTGATAATTAACAGGCCATAGTCGGTATCACAGAGATATATTTGCTTCAACACGCAGGTTTGAAGTACATGCTCAGCAGCTGGTGAAGCAGGCTGTTGTCATTGTTGATGCCTTCCTCTTCCTTTCTTGCATCCTCTCAACGACTTACTGCTGCTCCTCTCTCTTGCATCACGGCTGTGATTCACTGCAACACGGGGGGGGGTCCATAAGAGCGGGAGTTTGTGAGATCACAAGTACTTTGGTAGCCAGTCATCTTCCAATAAGCAGCAATGTGGTAAAATATGGCAAATACAAAACCGTCTGAGCAAATAAATGGTGCACAAGAAGCGTGTGACTTACTTGTCAGTAGAGCTGCTATTCCATCACATCTACATGTTTTTCGTTTGTTTTTCGATTGACTGGCACTCTTTTATTTATGTCATTTCGTAGCGCCCTCTACTTCTACAGTGGTTCAACGGCACGCGACTGGAGAACTGGCGCCACCTTATCTCGATGAACTGACTCCTATTATGATATTCAGATACTGTACTTTATAAATTGACATGCACTTTGGATAGAAACTTTGAAGAATTCAAGTAAAAAAACATATCAGACACAAACTTGTGTGTCTTTAGACATGTCTGTGGGATCTTTACGCCTGTTCTCTGAGGGTTGTGCAGCACCAGTCTGGGAAACACAAGAAATCCCTGACATGGAAGTGGACATCACAGATCAGTGATGTATAACCGTGTTCAGGGTCAACAAGAATGCACTTTTGAAGTGAGGGAGCTTTAAAATGCTTATGTCTCCTATTAAAGGAGGGACGGGCTATCTTTCTTCACATGAGAATAAGACGATGACGTTTTTATGATATTATGTGTTTGATGATGTCTTTATATTTATTAGTTCTTGTTTACGTCTCTGGTTTGGTTTTCCCAGCGATCCATGGCAAGAATGACCCTTTGTTTTGGCCCACATGAATTCTTTGAAGCAGAGCTGTTCTCTCATTGGTCAAATTAAACCTGAATGGGAGGTGCTTGCACTGCAGCTTGTCGTCCTGTTCATTCTCTCCGTAGCCACTGCTTCTCCCATTCATTATATGACCTTTGAATGTGCTTCATTCAGTCCTCTCTCTCTCTCTCTCTCTCTCTCTCTCTCTCTCTCTGACAGACTGAGAAGGATCGTTAGCATCCCTGGAGAGTTATACATACGCAGTGAGAAGATGACTCTGGCAGGTAAATGCAGCCACAGCAGAAAGTCACACACACCATCGCAGCTCCCTGAACTTGCCTTTATGAACTGCTCATGATTCCATTGTGGGAATGATAACGAGAGTGCACTTTTATTATCTGAACCATGTGTCTTGACAGTGTTATGACTGTCATAACAACATAATGAGGATGACTCACTGTGAATCGTTCAGTTAGAGTCAAAACAATAAGCATCACAAAGCAACTACATATCTGTGTATGTGTGTGTTTGTATATATTACTCATGTTGTGGGGACATAAATCTGTTTACACTGTGGGGACTCACCTTCTTTCTGGCGACAAAATGCACGTTCCCATAACGTGAATCGACTTGGTTTAAGGCAAGTGTAAGGTTAAGTTTAGGTTTAGGTTAGGGTTAGAGTAAGATCAGGTCTAGCTAAAGGTTTGGGTAAGGTTAGGTTTAATTTAAGGTTAAGTTAATGTTACGGTTGAGGTTGGGGTTAAGGTTAGGTTTAGGTTTAGGTTTAGTTCAAGTTAAAGTTAGGTTTTGGTTAAGGTTAGGTTAGGTTGGGAGTGATAAGGGTTAGGGTTAGGATTAGGCTGGTAGTGGTTATTAGGGTCAGGGTAGGTCTCCAGGAAATGAATGTACGTGGATGTAATATCCTCTTAAGTGATGGAAACACGACTGTAATGTGTGTGTGTTCTGTGTGTGCGTGTGTGTGCGTGTGTGTGTGTGTCCTCAGCCTACAAAGAGAAGGTTAAGGAGCTCCCCCTGGTGTCTCTGTTCTGCGCCTGCTTCAACCCACAGACTGCAGACAAACCTACATACAAGGCAGAAGGTAACAATAAATCACTTTAGCTTGCATGTAAACGATCTTACAGCATTCTAGCCAAGTACGCACCAGTCATTCTGGGAAATGTAGGAGTTATTGTTTCCAAAGCACTTAGCAGAGGCCTGGAAAATGGCCGTAGGTAAACCACAAACCACACGCTGCACATTGACGATGTGTAATAGTGTATTAAAAATACATAGCAAATGAAGAGTCTAAACATGGCCACAATCCAACGCCACAGATGCGGTGGACCTGGGCTGGTGCGTCATCAAAGACGTGGAGGTAATTGAGCTGAACAAGCGGACATCTGGCCAGGCCTTCGAGGTCATCCTCAAGCCCCCGTCCTTTGACGGGATGCCAGAGCTCAACGGATCCATGCCGCAGCGCCGCGACCCGTCCCTGGAGGAGATCCAGAAGAAGCTGGAGGCGGCCGAGGAGAGGCGAAAGGTGAGAGGAGCAGAGGAGGGGTGGGTGGGGGGGGGGGCTATTGTCATACCCACGACGAACCCAACCGGACCGGCCCTCAACCAAAACTTGTAACCCTAACCCCAGCTGCTGCTCATCCAGGCATTGTCAAACATCTGACAACGCTCTTTGTGGGCAGCGTGATTTATCAACTCAGGAGGAAATAGGGTGGAAATAGATAAAAAGAAAGAGGGGGTGAGTGTTGGACTGGGTGGCGGAAGCAGAGGGAGGGTGGAAAAGATGAAAAGAGGGACATGAAAGCACAAGTGCAATCATGAAAGGACGCACCCACGGTGGCTCATGTTCATCAAGCAAAGAGGACGGTGGAGGGAGAGGAAGGGAGAGGTGAGGAGAGAGCAATGATAGCCGGCCTGCAACAGAGCGCTCATGCCACACCTGCACATCTGCAGCATCAGATGTTTTCTTTAGTAACCATTTGTTTAAATGTCTTAAAGGCCCCGAAAATGTATTTTCTCAATCAGATTGTTACTATGAGTGATGAATAAGCCGCAACAGGTTTGGTTCCTTCATATTAGAGCTTTCACCATTTTCTCTGGTTCGTAGTGGGCAGGACTTAGTTTGAAAAAGGTGATGTACTAACATCCCACTAATAGTTGAGGATTTTTGAAATCCCCCTGTTGACTTACCTTCGGTGATCTCTGTCTCCCTCTAGTGCCAGGAGGCGGAGCTGCTGAAGCACCTGGCGGAGAAGAGGGAGCACGAGCGCGAGGTGATCCAGAAGGCCTTTGAGGAGAACAACAACTTCATCAAGAACGCCAAGGAGAAGCTTGAGCAAAAGATGGAGGCCAACAAGGAGAACAGAGAGGCCCTGCTGGCCGCCATGCTGGAGAGGCTGCAGGAGAAGGTACGGTCCAGTTGACCTTTGCTCTCAAGGTCTCCCACTTTATGAAAGATCCACTCTAACACACAAAAAACATTATTGGTGATGTACCATTTTGTCGTTTCTATACAAATGATGACGGATTTGATGAAAAATCAGTCCCTCAGAGCAGTAAGGGCTTCTGTGTAGACATAAACAAGATTTGGAGGACATTTATCAAAGAGACACACCTGATCTGTTCTGCGCCAGCAGTGTAATCGAGGAACTATTAAAGGAATAGCTCAACTCTTAGTGTTCATTTGCGGACCGAACAACAGTTAGATGAGAATATTGATACCACTTTCATGTCTGTGCGATAAGTACAGAGCTAGAGGTGAGAGACGATTAGCTTAGCTTAGCACAAAGAACATTTAATGTCGTTTTTACATTTCTGTTTCTGTGTGGATTAAACAAACATAATACAATGTGTTAATCAGTTAGTTGTAGAGGTGTAGGTATGGGCTTTTTTTACTTTGAGAGTCTTTATGCTAAGCTAGGCTAATTGCCTCACAGCTCCATCTCCAAAGTTAGCGTGCATGGTATCGATCTTCTCATGTAACTCTTTGTAATAAAGCAAACTTTCCTTTAACCTAAAATATTTTCTTCAGTGTAAATGATGCAAGCCTGGGCTTGCATTGCCATTCTAATGTTGTTCACAGGCTTGATCAGTCATCATGAATATTATATGAGGTGGAAAAGAGTTTTTAGTTCTCCCCACTCTGTATCATTCCCCTGTTCAATTCTTCATGAACAGTCGCTGAGTCATCGCCTTGTTCTGCCGGCGTCTCCCTCATTAATGCTAATTTATTCATGAATGCTAATAGTGCCGTGTCTCTGTGTTTGTCTGGCAGGACAAACACGCGGAAGAAGTGAGGAAGAACAAGGAGATGAAGGAGGAAGCCTGCCGGTAGATGAATGGAGAAGAACAGAAGAGAGAGAGAGAGAAGAGAGAGCGGGACTGGGATTTTTATGATCGGTATAAAAAAATAACAAAAACCAAGGAAATCAAAATAGTGCAGGAAAGATTTTTAAAAAGAACACAAAAGCAACTGAACAAAGGGGAACGGGGAGTTTTCACTTTTGATGTGTGCTGTAACGATTCTGAACAAGCTGTACAAAGTTTAGCCAACTCAAAAATAAATCTGTCTCTTTGTACTAAAGGAAAAGTGGGTGGGTGGGTGGGTGGGGCATCATAATAAACATTTACAATTTGTAAAAGAGGGGCAACAATGGTTGATTGGTGAGGAACGAAAGCATCGAGGCAAAAGATGCACACATTTAAATCATGGCTCTGAATTCTGCAGCAGGGAATAATAACCGCCTGTTCACTGATCTGTGTTTGATGCTTTATATCAGGAGTCGTGACTGTTGTAGCACAGCCAATCATACAGAGTAGAGAGCTGTGATCTAAACTGTTACCGGGTAAAACATGACAAGTGTGTGATGTGCTCAAACAAAACAAAAAACTGGACGCACGGATATAGTTTAGAAGTTCCAGTCAGTCCAGACCAGTACAAAGCTGAGAGTCCCAGGCTTTCTTTTACAGGACACTTACCAGTCAATACACACAAACAGGAAGTAACACACAAGCTTCTGCTGTTTCCCTTATTAACAAAAAAAGATTTCCCTCGCTCCACCGCGCTCATGCATTTTGTGTGATTGTTGTGTGTGTCTGTTGGGAGGCCTGCGCGGACAGAAACTCAGTGAATCTCACGATATGGTTTATGAATATCAAAAGGAAGAATCAGACCAGGGGGAGCAAGAGAAACAAAAGAAAGGTTTGAGAAGGGGGAGGAAGCTCTGCTGCATTCTGCCATTCCCGGCTCTTTGTAAAAAAAACTTTTACCTGTAGTGTCTAGTTGTAGATCAGTGACATGCATTTAAGTCTTAGATTTAGAGCACTGATTGCACTCTTATTTCATTAAGCACAACTCAAAAGCACATGTGCACACACATGGAGGACAGCAGATAT